AGGAGAAAGCATCAATGTCTGAGACATTCAGCCAGCAGCAGAAAAATTTAATGAGTTAGTTACTTGGGTCAACTTTTTACAGGTTGGTAGGTGGGGAGCACCCAGGCTTTGTACCTCCATCCAATCTGAGCCCTCCATTTGGATCTTCATCAGCATAGCATTTAAGAATTCGGGTGGCCTTGATTGTCTTAAAGGTACCTCCAGAATCCCAGATGATCACATTAACACGTTAGCAACATTATCCTTGTTTTTGTTTTGTTTGCTTTTGCCTCTCTCTCTCTCTCTCTCTCTCTCTCTCTCTTAATTTTTGATGCATGCAATGGATGTAACAATGTGCAGTGGAAAAGCTATTTCTTAGAATTTGTTTAGTAAACTACTAATTTCTTGAGGTTTGTGCTGTGAAAATAAGTCTGATAAAAAGAAAAGCTTGGTACAATCTCTCTCTAGCTGGTGTATTTTAGGAAGTTATAGGCATTGCTGTACCGTACTAATGGCTAATTTGAGTACGGATTTGTTGCAAATATTTTTGCCTAAATGGGATTTATTTGGTCAGTAGGGACGTCATAAACAAAATATTAGTCATACATCAGAATGGACATGAAAAGGAAAGACTGGTAGGCACAGCAGAGGCCAACTTCAAAAGCACCCCTACATGCATACATGCATATATGCTGTAGATGGCCTAGGATTACCCAGTGAAGCCTATATATTGTATGAGACTTGACTTTTCAATGTGTCGAGTGTACCCAGTGAAGCCTATATATATGTATCTCTCTCTCTCTCTCTCTCTCTCTCTCCCGCCTGAAACTACAACAAGAGTGTGGAAGAAGGTATTGATTCATTGTATTGTCCTTCAAAAGAAATTACACCAGCTGGTGCACACACATGATAACCCCCACCAAACACACAGGCCAGGACTTTATTTCTTGCTATTATGGTCATTTTCAGACCTCCTCACTGAACACCAACTCGTTCATGCAAATTACTGAATGGGGAGAATCTGATTACATTTTCAAAAGAAAAATCAATGGGTTCTGCATAAACTATCAACCAAGTACAAAATGATATATCATTCTCAATATGTCTCCTAAAGACAAAGCTCAGAATATCCCAACCCTCTAGCAGAAGAAGTAAACTTCCCTGAAGAATTTGAACAAATTTAAAATAAAGATCCATGGGAGAAAGAAGATTCAAGTATAATTATGTTAAAAAAAATTGAAGATCAAGATTAATATTTATAAAACTATATTCCTTGCAGGAAATACATCAAATGTGCAACATCCTAGTTGTGAAGCTTCTTGGTCAAACCACAATTTCTAGTTCTGCACACCTGACAACTGAGTAAAACCAAGATCATTCTACATTTTAGCCTTTCAACACCATCATTCACAAGCCCATCAAGTGAGTATCCAAGGATAGTTTAAAGAATATAATGATCCACTGTTTTTCCACTGAATATTCCCATAAACTAATTCACTTTCTACAAGAGTTTAGAGCAGAAAAGATTGGATATATTATATTCACATAACAATAAGGTTAGCAGCGCTATAAACGGCGATCTACTGGGAAGTTAGAATCTGATTTGCTTCAAGTGATTGTTGAGTAAGTTAATCTCAAGTCTCAACTATAGTGAGCAGAAACTGCATAAAGCAGTTATATGCATATCAGGTTAATGATATCAACTTATGTGTTAAAATACAAAACAAGGATGCTACAGGCCTACAACACCTTTCCCCTTCTCCAACACACAAGAAATGCCAAACGGAAATCAACATATATATGGTAGATGTAACTACCATTGTCATGGTTTTATTTAGCATCTACAATTGGGGTGTTTATGGCCACCCTCGAAATTTACGTCTTGTAAACAATATAATCAAAGAAAACCACATCATAATCATTTTTGTGGAATCATGAGAGAAATAACAAAAAGATTGACAATACAATATTAGATTTGTCCCATTTACTCCAAATGAGAGCAAAACTTGTGCAGCATGCTTACAACTGAGGCTCAACCAACCTATCACTTAGGAGATGAGTCATGACTGCTGGATTCTTTCTTAGGATGAATTGCCTCAACAATGGCTTCGACTTCTTCCTTCATTCGTTCAAACACACCTGGGCCTTTGACTTCATCTACTGGGGTGGTTTCATCTATGTCATCACTCGTTCCATGCGTTTCTTTGTGATGTTTTGGTGATTTATCAGCATGATGCCCTAGTGATTTCTCTGCCATATCAAAATACATAAAGAGATAAATCTATAATTTAAAGGGGATTTCACTACTAGAAATTCAATTTCCATATAATGTTTTTTTAACTAAATAAACACTACCCACCTCATAAAAATATCAACTTCACATAAAACCCATCACCAAAATTAAAATTTTCAGAAGATTAATGGACATATCCTTGAAATAATTTCAGAAATATAAAACTCTACCCAGAAAAAAAAGGAGGACAAAAATATGCAAGAACTAAAAAGTGCAATGATATCATGTTAAATATGGGGAGTTCTGTAAATACAAAGAAATGAAAGTATAGGACTTTAAAGTACCTGAGAGAGAGTCCTTGAGCTCTGTTTTTCGTTCTGCCATGGGAGCTTCTGTGAGAAATTTGATGGGTCCGCTAAGACAGTTTGGTTCTCTGTTTCAGATTGTGCCACAATTTTACTCAAGAGGCGGTTTCAGCATCTAGGTTGTTAACATGTGGGACCCACAATTGGTGAGGGCCTTCAGATGATTTTGGACGGTTGAGATGCAGCTGCACGAAGAGCTATAACAGGGTCCATGAAGCTTCAAATTGGATTCAGTCTTGGCCCAGTAATGCCCATAAGCCAGTAGCGAGCCCATTGAAGCTGAAGCCCCAAAGTTTGCATCCAATAAATCATTGGCACGATCCACAGTACAAATAAAAAGCTGGAAATGGGATGTGATGGAAATTTTGTGTGTGTGAGACTCTAACACTGTGCTAATGAATCCAAGATGTAAGAATAACTTGTTTTTCATTATTTAGAATAGAATACCATTTAGAATAAAGAAATAGATTATGTTTGTTGAAAAGTGTAAAGTTTCTCGTGATTCACATCAAGTCGAGAAATAAGTAACTTTCAGGACATGAAAATAAAAGTTTGAAACATTGTTTTGTGAAATAATCTTGTAGCTAATGCTTAAATTTTATGTATGAACGATTATTTAACTTTGTGAGAGAGGATGAAAAAATGGGTTATAATTAGGTTTAGGATTAGGTAGGTCAAACATCAATTTCTTGTAATGTAAGTAAAAGAAAGGGAATTCTTTTTGGTGAACAAAGAAAGGGAATTTTCAAGCTCCCTTTGTGGAAACCAAGACTACGTCAACAGATTGATAAAGTTCCAGATCATTTCCCAATGTTTGATAGGGCAGCAGCCTGCAACAGGATAGTTGAAAAACGCGTGGAAACGTTTACAAATTACTTTTCAATGGCATAGAAATTTGCTGAAAGTGATGTCAGTAGGGTCCAAGGAAACATTGTGTAATAATCTGTCTGTGAAAAAGAAAACATGTGGGGGAGAAAGGAATAAGATTTGCCTTCTCGGTTTTCTAATCTAACCCTACAATTTGCTAATTAGATTTCAAAGGAAATTTTGGTAATGATATGATCATTCCTTTACCAAAAAAAAAAAAAAATTCAAAAGACTTGTAAGACATTTGGTGAATTTCATGAAATTGATCTCATGACATTTGGGAAAGTGCAATGAAAAAACCTTGTCATAAACATTAGACAAAGTTGCCACTTCTTGTTTTCTTGGATTTTGGCTTAACATTTCCTTCTCAGTTCCTCTCTATCTCTGAGTAAAAGCAATGAAGTGATGACACATTCTTGACAAGTATCTTGTTTTAAGGCTGGCTGATCCTCTCTTCCACACACAGACAAAGCAGACATAAAATTTTCATAACATTTGGTTCCAAAGATAGTAAATGTACCTGGTAAATGCCTTAGAAAATATTAATTGGCAAGTGTTTGAACACTCCTATACATATATATATATATATATATATATATATATATGTAACCTTTGAACACTTCAAGTTCAAACACCTCAAGTTAAGCCAATTTTCTCTTTCGATTCAAGCAACTGTATAACTGGACTGCATTTTCTGCAATCATTTTATAGGACCTGTAAAGTTGATTATAGTTGTTGTTCTAAGGAGGGAAGTGATCTGGTTTAGTTAGAAGTAAGCAAAGTAATTGCTTTGGACAGGGAGACCCTTGTATATATATTAAGGTGAGCTACCTTCATCTAAATATTTCTTATTTGTATTCATATTCAGGTGCAACTGATCATATGGCGTTTGATCCTGATGATTGTGGGCCCACTATTTTAATTCTAAGTTCTGGTTTATTAATGATGTGTTATTTGTATATTGCTCTCACAGAAAGAGAGGGAAGCTTATGAAGTGATTGTGGAAAGTGGGAAGCTTGTGTACAGACAAAGTAGGAAACTTGTGAATACTGCTGAGGGTTGTAAATGGATCTTTGTCCTCAGCACATCAAGGAAAATGTATGTTGGGGAGAAGAAGAAAGGCCTTTTCCAGCACTCTACTCCTGATGATTATGGGCCCATCATGACGTTTGAAATAACCAAGTTTAAGTTTTTCATGAGTTTAATCATGGTCAAAGTGAAAATTTGGTTTTTTTTATATAATTTTTGCAGAAAAATGAAATTTAAAGACGATGGGGTTATATTGTTTAGTTTTAAATCCAATCATATGAACAGAAATTATACCATTCTCAAATTGGGGATAGACATGTGTTTCTTTAATATTTAGTGTGAGTTTATATGATCCATATTGAGAATATTATTTTGCATGATTTGAGAAACTAATGGATGTAGAATTTATGATTAAAAATTCATAACTTAATTCTCTCTTTTCCTGAAGAATTGAAGATTTCATTTTAAGCTCTAAACAAGAGCTTCTGCAAATCTTGTAGCAGTAAAAGGTGACCGGAATAATACAAATGGTCATACTGACATCCACTAATTTTAAGTCCAAGAGAAAAGCAACATCTAGAACAGTTAGCTTGAAGAAAACTGATTTGAGCAAAGCCAACAAGTCTCATGGGCTGACAAAAGTGATTTCTGAAGAATCTATAAGCAGCAAGAAAAGGAAAGCAGGAGAGCTAAATTTGTGGACACGTGATTCATTGAAGACTACACAGGGAAAACCCGATAGTTTCATTGAGAAGTTCAATCCAACAATTCCTTTAACCAAGCCAGAAGATTGGTTTTCTCCCCGGTCCCCAAGGGAGCTTGATGCAGCTGCAATCAAGCTGCAGAAAGTTTACAAGAGTTACCAAACTAGACGAAACATTGCAGATTGCTCTGTGGTTGCTGAGGACCTATGGTTTGTTCTGTTTTCATTTCCTATTCTGCTGCACATAGTCGTAACTCGCATAGTACATTCGTGCTTATTCTCTTCTTTTAATTGTTGCAGGTGGCAGGCATTAGACTTTGCTGCTCTTAGGCGAAGCTCTGTGTCCTTCTTTGGCTCTGGTAAATCAGAAACTGCAGTTTCAAGATGGGCAAGGGCTAGAACAAGGGCTGCCAAGGTGATCTCTTCCTATACATTTCACCCGCATTCAAAGTTACTTAGCTTTTTTACAAGATTTTGAACATTAGCAAATTCTTCAACATCATTCATAGATTTTGAAAAATCTATCCATGTGTTTCTTTGTTTTGAACTTGGACCGAGACCAAAATGGATACCTAATTTATTAGAAGATCTTGACTTGTAAGACTGTTATGATATTGTACTCATTAAAGTGTTGATAGAGAAGCATTTGGTTGATTAATGTAGGTTGGGAAGGGTTTGTCCACGGATGAGAAGGCTCCGAAATTAGCTCTAAGATATTGGCTTGAGGCTGTAAGCTCACATTAAGAATATTCACATACTCTGTATTAAGCCTATTTTTTCCATTCAACATGGTAAAATCAAGTGTCAAATGAATTCTGTGTAGGAAGACAACATTGAGAATCCATAGACAATTAGTTCTTTTCCTTACATTTCGCATGTATGCTTAGTTAGGTACACAAAATAGCATGGATTAGGACCAAAATAAAAATAAAAATAAAGGCATGCATGGACTAATTTCTTTACATCACAATGAGTGGGGAACCATTATTTTCAGAGCAAGCATGCTTAATTACCTTCTGGTTGTTCGGTACAGATTGATCCGCCCCATCGTTATGGACAAAATCTGCACTTGTATTATGATGTTTGGTTTAGTAGTGGGAGCTTTCAACCTTTCTTCTACTGGTAGAATTCCTACAGAAACCAATTTTTCTGTTTTGGACTTGTTGAGGCTTATTTTGTAACCTTGTGATGCTCTATCAAAAAATGAAGGTTGGATGTTGGAGATGGCAAAGAAGTAAATCTTGACAAGTGCCCAAGAACTGATCTGCAGGGTCAATGCATCAAGTACCTTGGACCAGTAAGTATCAACAAATTTAATTGCTTTCCCATATATATATATATATATATATATAAGTTTCTATTTTAATTCTAAGTTCTGCTTTATTAATGATGTGTTATCTGTATATTGCTCTCACAGAAAGAGAGGGAAGCTTATGAAGTGATTGTGGAAAGTGGGAAGCTTGTGTACAGACAAAGTAGGAAACTTGTGAATACTGCTGAGGGTTGTAAATGGATCTTTGTCCTCAGCACATCAAGGAAAATGTATGTTGGGGAGAAGAAGAAAGGCCTTTTCCAGCACTCTACTTTTCTAGCTGGAGGTGCCACAATTGCAGCAGGGAGAATTGTTGCCTTTAATGGGGTTCTGGAGGTTTGCTGCTTAATTGTTAATTAATCGCTTGAACACACACAAAATACAACATTACTTTAAAAATTTCTTCCTCATCATTCATGAACCTTTTATCTCCATACTGTTCAGGCAGTATGGTCCTACAGCGGTCACTACCGCCCGACGGAAGAGAATTTTATGGAGTTCATTAGCTTCTTAGAGGAGCATCAGGTGGACTTAACAGATGTTAAAGTAATTCTCCCTAAGCCTTCATATTGATGACTTGCACAAATTGCCTAAACATGGTGCTTAAGCTGCTAAACACTGGAGCATTTTCATATGATTCTCATTAAGCCTAATTACATTTTCCCAATTAATTGTTCTCTGCAGAAATATCCTATAGATGATGATGTTCCACCTTCTTATGCTCCCAAGAAAGAGATGAAGTCAGATATCACGTCTGCTAATGTTGATGTTGTTTGTGTATATTCACATGTTTTACACGTGTAATTAACCTAGACATATGTATATAACTCATATTTCACATATGTATATCGAAATTCTTATATCTCTTACATGTATATATTTCATTTATATGTATATAAATTCCTCTCTTTCTCTAATTTTTATTCTCATACTGAACCACATATATATAACCGTTGTTGATTAGTGATTGATCTATACTTGAACGCTTAGTGTAAACATTGATTAACGGTTTTGATAATTAGACTAATAAATATCAATCCGAACCGAGCGAAATTCAGTTACGAGATTTGAATGCATGACTTTCTCCAACAAAGTGGAAATTGAATTTCACTAAACCTTTTCTAGTACGTAGGTGTTGGCAAAATTGAATTTTATTGAACTTTATTCGATTGCGAAATGGGTTAGACGGGAAAATGGCAGGAAGGGGGTGAGAAGTTGCTCATGTTAATGACCCTTCCTTGAGTTATGAATCATGTGGTTAATTTCTTTAAGTATCCTTACCAAAGATTGAGGGCTCGTTTGAGAGTGCTTATAGAAGGGCTAAAAGCGCTTTCTGACAACTGAAAGCGCTTCTGATGGCATTTGGCAGAAAAGTTTAAATGTGCTTCTGGACTATAGAAATGCTTTCTGAAGAAGCACTTGGCATGTGCTTTTTCAGAAAGTACGTTGATTTTTTATGAAATTTTCAACAACTTTATAATAAAAACACTTTTATTAAAAGTGCTTATGAGCAGAAGTGCTTCCTAAAAATGTAGTCCCAAACGAGCCCTGAGTTTCTATTCCAAAACTCTATATATAGGCTTGTAGCTATAAGCCCATCTCTTTTGAATCTTAGATCGATAGTCATAGTCTTGCATGGCTCTAGCTTCAATCAAGGCTTTAAAATAGATCAATAATGTATATCAGACTTTGGTAATACAATTAACTTCGGCGTTGGTTTTTTGAGAAACTACATCAGAGCAAGCATTCTTAATTCCCTTCTGTTTGTTCGGTACAGATTGATCCGCCCCATCGTTATGGACAAAATCTGCACTTGTATTATGATGTTTGGTTTAGTAGTGGGAGCTTTCAACCTTTCTTCTACTGGTAGAATTCCTACAGAAACCAATTTTTCTGTTTTGGACTTGTTGAGGCTTATTTTGTAACCTTGTGATGCTCTATCAAAAAATGAAGGTTGGATGTTGGAGATGGCAAAGAAGTAAATCTTGACAAGTGCCCAAGAACTGATCTGCAGGGTCAATGCATCAAGTACCTTGGACCAGTAAGTATCAACAAATTTAATTGCTTTCCCATATATATATATATATATATATATAAGTTTCTATTTTAATTCTAAGTTCTGCTTTATTAATGATGTGTTATCTGTATATTGCTCTCACAGAAAGAGAGGGAAGCTTATGAAGTGATTGTGGAAAGTGGGAAGCTTGTGTACAGACAAAGTAGGAAACTTGTGAATACTGCTGAGGGTTGTAAATGGATCTTTGTCCTCAGCACATCAAGGAAAATGTATGTTGGGGAGAAGAAGAAAGGCCTTTTCCAGCACTCTACTTTTCTAGCTGGAGGTGCCACAATTGCAGCAGGGAGAATTGTTGCCTTTAATGGGGTTCTGGAGGTTTGCTGCTTAATTGTTAATTAATCGCTTGAACACACACAAAATACAACATTACTTTAAAAATTTCTTCCTCATCATTCATGAACCTTTTATCTCCATACTGTTCAGGCAGTATGGTCCTACAGCGGTCACTACCGCCCGACGGAAGAGAATTTTATGGAGTTCATTAGCTTCTTAGAGGAGCATCAGGTGGACTTAACAGATGTTAAAGTAATTCTCCCTAAGCCTTCATATTGATGACTTGCACAAATTGCCTAAACATGGTGCTTAAGCTGCTAAACACTGGAGCATTTTCATATGATTCTCATTAAGCCTAATTACATTTTCCCAATTAATTGTTCTCTGCAGAAATATCCTATAGATGATGATGTTCCACCTTCTTATGCTCCCAAGAAAGAGATGAAGTCAGATATCACGTCTGCTAATGTTGATGTTGTTTGTGTATATTCACATGTTTTACACGTGTAATTAACCTAGACATATGTATATAACTCATATTTCACATATGTATATCGAAATTCTTATATCTCTTACATGTATATATTTCATTTATATGTATATAAATTCCTCTCTTTCTCTAATTTTTATTCTCATACTGAACCACATATATATAACCGTTGTTGATTAGTGATTGATCTATACTTGAACGCTTAGTGTAAACATTGATTAACGGTTTTGATAATTAGACTAATAAATATCAATCCGAACCGAGCGAAATTCAGTTACGAGATTTGAATGCATGACTTTCTCCAACAAAGTGGAAATTGAATTTCACTAAACCTTTTCTAGTACGTAGGTGTTGGCAAAATTGAATTTTATTGAACTTTATTCGATTGCGAAATGGGTTAGACGGGAAAATGGCAGGAAGGGGGTGAGAAGTTGCTCATGTTAATGACCCTTCCTTGAGTTATGAATCATGTGGTTAATTTCTTTAAGTATCCTTACCAAAGATTGAGGGCTCGTTTGAGAGTGCTTATAGAAGGGCTAAAAGCGCTTTCTGACAACTGAAAGCGCTTCTGATGGCATTTGGCAGAAAAGTTTAAATGTGCTTCTGGACTATAGAAATGCTTTCTGAAGAAGCACTTGGCATGTGCTTTTTCAGAAAGTACGTTGATTTTTTATGAAATTTTCAACAACTTTATAATAAAAACACTTTTATTAAAAGTGCTTATGAGCAGAAGTGCTTCCTAAAAATGTAGTCCCAAACGAGCCCTGAGTTTCTATTCCAAAACTCTATATATAGGCTTGTAGCTATAAGCCCATCTCTTTTGAATCTTAGATCGATAGTCATAGTCTTGCATGGCTCTAGCTTCAATCAAGGCTTTAAAATAGATCAATAATGTATATCAGACTTTGGTAATACAATTAACTTCGGCGTTGGTTTTTTGAGAAACTACAGTAACCACAAGAGATAATTCAAACACGGAAGAGTCCACAACACTGGTATTTCTTAAAATAAAATATTTGGCGATTAAAATAGGAATATTAAAGTAGCATTTCTCTTCATTTGATTAAAGAAAGGCCCAGTTGTGAAATATTTAACCCAAAATAAATAAATAAATAAGAAAAGAACAAGAACATTTTGGGCAATAAGTATTTGTCTTTGACCCAGTTGAATAGTACGGAACAACATCCGAGTGAAGGCAGTGACATGAAGCTTCGGTCGCAAGTCAAACACTTCAAAGTTTTCTTGTTCTTTACCTCATTGTCTTGCCTCGTGGAGTCTTTCCACAACAACGTTTGAACATGGATGGACTCAGGATGAGCCTTTTCACAACATTTGATCAGAGATGGATTCAGGATTTGTTTTCAACTTCGACCAAAGAAAAAAAGAGGAGTTGTTTTCGACTTCGACCAAAAAATAAAAGAGGCAGGAGTCTATGTTTTGCCTGTGGCCCCATTCCTTTTTGTACCATAAAAAAACGAAAACAGGGTGAAGGGGGGATTTATGAGAATGCAGTGCATGGCTGTCCATTGGCTGTCCATGGTATGTTACTTTAGGCTTGAAAAGACAAAATCACCTGGGCTATTTCTGTTTAGTCAAAGGTAGGTCCGTCACTGGATTTGACGATTTCTCTTAATTTCTGTTTACTCTCTCTTCTAAAGTAATTAACACACTTGCTTGACAAGTATGTTACAAAATGTCATGTTTGACCAATCTCTCTCTCTCTCTCTCTCTCTGTGTAATGATCATGTCTAACGTTAAATTTTGTTCCAAATAAAGTAAGCATACACAAATATATTGGGAACTTTGAACACTTCCAAGTTCAAGAATCAAACCCCTCGTGGGGTTCTCAAAATCTTGCCAAGTTTTCTTTCTCCTTTTGTTTTTTCATTCAAAACACCCCGTTTGATGGGACCAAATTTCAAACATTTCTATTTTCTGCAGTTTTTGTCTAATACGTGTTGGAAGTTGCCTTACCAACCACATACATTCAACCAACTTCTTTTCATTGAGTAGTATATAAAGGAGGCAAGTGGTCTAATTTAGAAGTGCACCAAACCAAGTTGAGTTGAGATAGGGGGAGACAGAGTTGCAATTTTATTCAGGTGAGAAGAACATGCATATTTCATCTTGTTTGAGCTAGCTCTTGTGCTTGTTCGGCTGTCCTAATTTGATTTGTTTTTGACTTGTTTCGATTGGTTGATTATGGTCAAAGTGAAAATGTGGCTTAGTTGAATCAAAAGGAGATCTTTAAGAATGATGGGTTAATCTACTTTAGATTCAAAGCCCATCATATGAAAAACATGCATATTTCAATTGAAGCTATTGCTTTGCTTTGCATGATTTGAGAACAACTGAGAGTAGAAGCATCTTCATTAAAAACTTACCTGCATTTTCTTAAGAATCAATTAGATATCTGTTTTCTGAGGCATATGCCTTTTGTTTTGGCAGAAATTTATAGAAATGGTTACAATGACATCCGTCAGTGTGTCCAAGAAACAGAAGGTGATGACTGGAACAGTTCGCGTCGAACAAACTGATTTGAGCAACACCATTGAATCTGATGAGCCAGATAAAATGATTATTGAAGAATCCATGAGCTGCAAGAAGAGGAAAGAAGGCCAGCTAATTTCTTTACCGGAGCCAGAAGATTTGTTTTCTCCGCGATATCCAAGTGAGCTTGATGCAGCTGCAATCAAGCTGCAGAAATTTTACAAGAGTTACCGGACCAGACGAAGCCTTGCAGATTGTGCTGTTGTAGTGGAGGAGCTATGGTTTGTTCTATTATCATCTCCTATTTTGCAGAACATATTTGTTAAGCACATGCATATATGCTTATTCTCTTCATGTAATTGTTGCAGGTGGAAGGCATTGGACTTTGCTGCTCTGAAACGGAGCTCTGTGTCATTCTTCGACTCTGATAAATCAGAAACTGCCGTGTCAAGATGGGCGAGGGCTAGGACGAGAGCTGCCAAGGTGATCTTTTGGTACATTGCAGTTAAAGTTACTTGGATTTTACAAGATGTTGAAGATGATCAAATTCTTTGATACCATTAATTTCCAACATGTGGACCTAATTGGCTAATTCAGTCTTTTTAAAGCCAGAAAATCCATTTGCTTATTTATTTTGTATTTTGACCACGGCCAAAATGGTTGACTAATTCAAAGTTTAGAAATTCTTGTAAGAACCAAGAACTATTGCAGACACTGAATGTTGATTTAAGTATCATATTGTTGATTGTAGGTTGGGAAAGGTTTGTCAAAGGATGAGAAGGCTCAGAAATTAGCTCTAAGACATTGGCTTGAGGCTGTAAGCTTACATTAACAATACTCTCACTTTGTATTTAACCAATGATTTTCATGGTTACATCATAAGCATGCTTACCTTCTGCTTATGACGTACAGATTGATCCACGTCATCGATATGGACACAATCTACACATGTATTATGATATCTGGTTTAACAGTGGGAGCTCTCAACCTTTTTTCTACTGGTATAATTCTGCAGAAACCAAAATTTTCTGTTTCAAAAATGTTATGGCTTTTTTTTTTCTTCTTCTTCTAATCTTTTCTGCATATGAAATTAATGAAGGTTGGATGTTGGAGATGGCAAAGAAGAAAATCTTGAGAAGTGTCCGAGAACTGATCTGCAGCGTCAGTGCATCCAATACCTTGGACCGGTAAGTATGAACATATGTAATTATTCTTCTAAAACACTGGAAAAATTGGAAATATACACTTCACTTATAGGTTAGCTGAGGCACTTCATCTATGTTGCTCTCACAGAAATAGGAATATTAAGGGGTTTGATGTGTGGTAACTGATGTCTTCTTATATGCATATTGCTCTCACAGAAAGAGAGAGAAGCTTATGAAGTGATTGTGGAGAGTGGGAAGCTTGTGTACAGTCAAAGTGGGAACCTTGTGAGTACTGCTGAGGGTTCTAAGTGGATTTTTGTCCTCAGCGCATCGAGGAATTTGTACGTTGGGGAGAAGAAGAAAGGCCTTTTCCAGCACTCCTCTTTTGTATCTGGAGGTGCCACTATTGCATCCGGAAGAATGGTTGCTTGCAATGGGGTTCTTGAGGTGTGCCTCTTATTTAAGACATGGAGATTACATTTCCTGAGACGCATTTTTATCCCCCTATCTATTGAACCTTTGATTTTCATGGTGTTCAGGCTGTATGGTGCTACAGCGGCCATTATCGCCCGACAGAAGAGAGTCTTTTGGAGTTCATTAGCTTCTTAGAGGAGCATCAAATGGACATGACAGGTGTCAAGGTACTTGTTCTTAAGCCTTCATATTGGCTTTTGCATAATTGGCCTAAAACTTGGTTCAAATGTATGATATGCTAAGTAATGTAAAATTCTGTTTCTCATTAAGCCAATCTAAAATTCCATTAAATCTTTTTTTTTTCTGCAGACATCTCCTACAGATGATGATGTTCCACCTTCATATGCCACCAAGAAAGAGATGAACTCAGAGTCTATAACAAGCACCCATGAGGAGACTAAAGAAAATGAGGCTGCCACAGACAATGATGCAGCAAATGATCACCATGAACACAAGGTGGAGCCCCCAAAATTTGAGCTGGGCAGGCCTTTGTCACGCAAATGGAGTACCGGGGCCGGCCCTCGAATCGGGTGTGTAAGAGATTACCCAGCACAGCTGCAATATCAGGCACTTGAGCAGGTCAATCTGTCACCTAGAGTCACACCAGAAATCTCTGTTAGCAATGCTCCAATCCCTTCACCAAGACCAAGTCCAAAGATCCACCTCTCACCTAGGCTTGCATATATGGGACTTCCTAGCCCCAAGGTTACATAATTTGACCTCTAAACCATCGCTAGATTAATCTAAAAGATTAAGCATTTTGTGGCATTTTGGGTTAGGGGGGTTTTTGAATGGACTAACCGGGTTAGAATGTCTTCCATTCGGGTTTTCCTCTTGACCTTGATCATTTAGCCATGTAGGTAGGTCATCTGCCTTTACCAAATTATTTTATTTCTTCACCATTGTTTGGGGACCTTTCAGGGGTTTGGCCACTTTTTCCTTGTATTCTATTCATCATTTAATAATCATTGTGTTCAATCCTCTGTCTCTAGTTTGACCATTCTTCAAGACCAAAGGTGGATCAATATTCCACACACACGCTTGCAAATTTTTGGACATATTTTCCTAACCGTTGACCAGAAATACCAATTTTGACGACTGTTTTAGTGGAAAATGCTAAAATCCTTTGCTGTTATTAGTTTTTTATTTATTTATAAAAATGTGTAAATAAGCGATATTGCGGTAAGGGGAATGTGCCCACCTCTAGTCCTTAACAAAGACGAATATATTTGATGTTTGATTTGATCCAAGAAAAGGAATAAAAAAAGAACAAAAGATGAACTAGGAGGGCTCAAAAAAAGTGAGGGCCAACCAAAGGCCTGGGCTGGATTCAGTGCAAGTAGACGGACTTAAACTGGCCCCTACCTTGTCACTAATAACAGGGCTTGGATATTTCAGCGGAACGTCATCGTTCCTAAAGAAGGAGCGCACCGGCAAATAAACTACACTGTTACTGTAATTTATATCCGTTACATGCTTTCAAATTGACTTTTTCCCCCCAAAATAACCCAGACAACACTCTCTGCAGCTCTCGGCTTCTATTTCTGTTTCCCAAAAGCACTTTTTTTTTTTTTTTTTTTTGGGGTAACAATTCCAAAAAGCACTTTCAGAAGAAAAGAGCTTATTTCTCAAATGGCATTTAGTCCAATACGAATAAAAACCCAAAAAAAGAAAAAAGCATTTAGTTAAATACAATATTTGATGCCATGAGAGGCCATAAAACACTATCCCATAGAGGGAAAATGTACTGAATTTGGTCACATGGGCTGAACACACTCATTCAAGCAAAAACAGCAATCTCCTATATATTCACAGGCAAAGAACCCTCTCCGATCATTTGTTGGCATGCCTGCCGGTAACTCAGCCTTGTCTAAAACATTGCACAACTGCAGTAAGTATCAAGATGATTTCATAAATATATAACATAATTAACAGATTGGAATGAGTAGTGAACCATATATATACCTTCTAGGATTGTTATTAATATTGACTAGAGTGTATCTATCAATTCCCTGCCCTCTGAAACTTTGCACAACTGCAAAATACAAATGCAGAAAATATCAAATTGTCATAAATACACAACATGAACAGGCGAATTTCGGGCATTGTCGGAATGAGTGTACCGTACCTTTCCCATTTGGTGGCTAGGGCTTAGTTGAGTCCCGTCCCATGGAGTCCCACCCTTGGAGTTGGGGAGGGGAATTGTCTCGAACATGTTGGACAGTGTTCCAGTTTAGTCGTCCAGGTAATAATAGGACCCAGCAGCCTTTTGCTCCCTATCCTTGGTTGAGTTCAATTTGTTGATTCCTGGGCGACAGTTTGTAGGGTCACGTCTAAATGTGATATCCAGTTGCTGCAATGCCACATTGAAAAAACAAAGAGAGAATCAAATCCTAGAACAACAAAAATTACACTACATTCAATTGGAGGTAAATTAAACAAGCTGTAAGACTTACAGATAAGAAGAGATTCATCCCAGTCAACAAAGATTGTGGAGAATTTGCAATACAATCAACTGATGACTTTCCTTCATAGACAATAACTTTGTCTGCCAAGTAAGTAGCAATAATGAAATCATGCTCAACCACGAATGCGGTTTTCTTAGCGTGGAGGACGAACCTCTTTATGACTTTTGCTGCAACGATACGCTGCTCAGAATCAAGATATGCACTTGGTTCATCTATCAGATAGATGTCTGCAGGCTGCAATATCAAGCAAAAATTAGGGACATACATTATTAGGCTGCATAAGTTCAAAGCAAAGCAGATGCATCATCACACACTTAATTTGTTATTGCTGTAAACATACTCTAAAATCAGTTACCTTTCTAAGGCATACACATAGAGCAACCCTTTGCAGCTCTCCACCAGAGAGTTTGGTTATTTCTTGATCCATTAATTGCCCAATATGAAGAGGCTTCATCACGTCTGTCACAAACTGGGGATGTGTACAGGAATCACAAATTTTTTCATGAAGCAGGTCTTTGACTTTTGTTGCATGCTTTGGATTAATTTTCTGGTTTTTGTAAGAAACATGAAGCTCAGGTATCTCTATACCAGAATCAGGTTTCGATAGACCAACCTACAAATTGAACAAATGTAGGCAATGACTCCACGTATCAAGATGCAATTTAACATACGATTGAATAAAACGAGTGAAAATGATAAAGACTAGTACCAGCATTCTCATAAATGTGGTCTTCCCTGATCCATTCTCACCCAACATCACAATAATTTGAGAATTGGTAAATTTACCCTCTATAACTTGAAGCTTGAACTCTCCCAACGTTTTAGTCATCGATGGGTATCTATACCATGCATATGTCTCAATTTCCTCACCGCTTTCTTGTGGAGTCTCAGCAACCTAAACAAGACAACAACAACAAAAAATTTTATAAAAAAAGATTGATTAAGTCACTCAAAACCAGCATTTTCATTGACAAAATATATTATCTTACCTTAAAAGTTAAAGATTCATCTCGGTACCTTAGGTTTTCTGTAGGAACAAATCCCGACAAGAAGGTGTTGATTCCTTCTCTAACTGAGAAGGGTAGGGTTACAGCTCCAAATGCACCCAGCTTCCCATATAACAAACTACCCAACCAAATCACAACTATGCTTTGCTAGCCTATACAAACATATTTGAGTCTTCTTATTTGCTCTTTCTCTTCTACACCAAGATTACAGTGACCACAAAGACAGTTGCAGCTATGCATAACTGAGATAATGTAACTAAGAATTCAAGGACACTCAGCAAGATTATATAACCCTGCTTATAATTATCACAGGCATCACCACCAATAACACAACACAAGGGACAGTAACAAAACTGACAATATCATTGCCACATAATTAACTTTAAATCAAAGTTATAGAGAATGACAACAAAGGGCAAAGAAAGATTTAATAGACAGACAAACTAAGCAGCTAAATACTACAGAGTTCTTAATTAACAATTACTAAATTTTTTAAACATTGTCTTGCTAGACATCAACACAGTGCCTTGTTATACCTGATCCAAGGTTCTAATGCTCAGATGACTTTAACGCCTCTAGAATCACCTTAGCCTGATCTCTCATCAACTCACTCCTTTTAACAAAAAGCTCCAATTCAGCAACATGCAGCTTCTTCCACTTCTCCTTCAACTCAGCTCGCTTGGCTCCTCCAATCAACTCCAAGCCCTGCTTCACGACACCCTCCGGCAACCCCAGCTCTCTGAAACCCTTATCAAACCCAATCACCTCACTCAAACTTTCAGAACCACACGGCTTCAGACCAAAATCCACCTTCTCACACTCCTTTGGGCGCTCCGGTGAACTCAACAGCTCAGCTTTAAGTGAAGCCAAAGTCTTGTTGTTACCTTTCTGATTTGTCCTAGCCTTCCCATTAGACTTGGACTGTTCAGACAACCCACCAACCCCAATTGACCCTTCGCCGCTGCCCCATACCTTATTTGACAAGTCGAACACCTTTTGCTCATGAGGCTTAACAGGATTATACTTCTTCCCTTTGGCCACATTCATCTCATACTTCTTCTTCAACCTACGAATCTTATCTTGCAATTGGGTCTTGTTCACATCGGCCTTCAACGATTTCTTGATAAAATCATGAAACGCACCCATATCAGAATATGGGTCCGCGCCTTTCTTCGTAGAGTAATCAATCATGCCTTTCAGGATCGCTATCTCATCATCATCGCTCCAAATCCTCTGGAACAGCTTCTTCGAGTCGTCTCCACCTGCCTTCTTCGTTTCCTCTCCGGCATGGTCTGGCTCCTGATCCGGGTCTGGGATCTTCTTCTTGGGCCTCTTGGAATCCTTGGGGTCGCTCTCGCTTGGCCGCTTCGACCCGGCTCTTGCTGCAGGCGTAGTAGTAGCCGAGGCCTTCGATCTGGGCTTCTTGGTCTTGGGCGTCTCTTCCATTGGCTTCGAAGCTATCGGCTTTACCACCATATCCTTATCCAATTCCGAATCGGATTCGGACTCGGACTCTGAGCCAGAGGATGAAGACTGCGGCTTTGAATTGACAGTAGCCGAGTCCGGTTTCTTCGGTGGTGGTTTCTTCTCAGCAACAGGAGTGGGTGCTGCCTTTGGAGGCTCGGGTTCCTCGGACTCGGATTCGGACCCGGATCCGGATTCTTCCTCTTCTTCTCCGTCTACTTCTTCTTCGGACGAGGCTACCTCTTCTTCCGAAGAAGAAGCAGCCGGAGGCTCATCCAGAGGAGATGGGCGCTTGGGTGCCATTGGAGAGTCGGTACAGTGAGGGTTTCGCGAAATTAGGGTTTCTAACTGGGATTGGGTTTGTGTGTGCGAAGGAAGGAGTAAAAAGGGTTCTACTTCGAAAGCTTTTTATTTTTTTTAATTTGGTCTGAACTACTTCGAAAGTTGGGTTGGAATCTTGGATGCTGTCAAAGGTCAAGGACTTTGGAAAGTAGCAAAACGGCCGTAAATATATCAGGACCGTTGGATTATAAATTTTTGTTGTTGTTGGAGGATTTTAAATTTGTTACCTCCTTTTCTTTCAGAAACAAATGGAAATATGACCACACGCACAACCGATATACAAAGGTACAAACTTGGACTGAAATAACACACAAGATGCATCATTTCACTCGCACAACCGAACCCAATTCCCTCCACCCCTATTATTTACACCCCTCAAATTCACTAAAAGCAGAAAATTTAACAACAAAAGGAAATGAAATGGAATTTCTAAATTTTATGTTTTTATCCAGACACGGGAATTGGATCATGTCAATTTAGAAATTTTAACTTATGTCAAAATCTCAAGTTTATTTCCCTCATCCAAACACACAATAAAAGCAAAAAATTTAATAACAAAAGAAAATGAAGTGATGGAGAAAAGAGTAATACTGGAGAAGCCAAGCCAGATGAGAGGATTGAGGGGACCTACCCCAAATCTAAAAGGATCTTAATCAATATCTTATCAGTTTTGCATTTCCTTTTATACGAAGAAGATGGATAAACGGAAAATTTTGAGTAAAGACAATAACTATTCATCACATAATTAAGTTCAAAAATCCAACAAGACAAACAACAATTTATATACATCAAGCATTCTATTAATCTGTTCAACAAAAGTATAACCTCAGTTTATTTAATCAGTTGATAACAAACTTAGAACAATTGTGACAATTTATTAAATAGGTATAAAATAATTAAGCCAAAACACCCGAGCTTTAATAGAATCAAATCAAGAGGTGTCAATTATGTTACTACAAATTTGGAAAATGGTAGGTGTTAGTGTAAACAAATGGAAAATTTTTAGTGAAGACAATGACTATTATTACAAAATTAAGGCGAATCTGGTGGAACCTTGCAATTTGTTGATGAAACCTTGCATTTGTAGCAAATGTCAAATGGCTCTGTTTTTTGCAATCCTAGGCTGTCTATAAATGTTATGGTATCATCTTATTATTGTATTAATCTTTTAATTTTGGGCTAACATCATTTTACCCTCTCAAGGTTTCGAGTCATTCTTGAAATAGGTCACGGGGTATTAATTTTGTCAATTTATGCCCTAACGTTTTAAAATTCGACCAATTTACATGTTCCATTAGTTTGATTAGTTAGTCATCTATTAAGTGATGATGTGGCAAATGTGGAGTCCACTTTTTTAGCTTAGGTGTAATTTAATATTATGCATATGTCTCAATTTCCTCACCGCTTTCTTGTGGAGTCTCAGTAACCTAAACAAGACAACAACAACAAAAAATTTTATAAAAAAAGATTGATTAAGTCACTCAAAACCAGCATTTTCATTGACAAAATATATTATCTTACCTTAAAAGTTAAAGATTCATCTCGGTACCTTAGGTTTTCTGTAGGAACAAATCCCGACAAGAAGGTGTTGATTCCTTCTCTAACTGAGAAGGGTAGGGTTACAGCTCCAAATGCACCCAGCTTCCCATATAACAAACTACCCAACCAAATCACAACTATGCTTTGCTAGCCTATACAAACATATTTGAGTCTTCTTATTTGCTCTTTCTCTTCTACACCAAGATTACAGTGACCACAAACACAAAGACAGTTGCAGCTATGCATAACTGAGATAATGTAACTAAGAATTCAAGGACACTCAGCAAGATTATATAACCCTGCTTATAATTATCACAGGCATCACCACCAATAACACAACACAAGGGACAGTAACAAAACTGACAATATCATTGCCACATAATTAACTTTAAATCAAAGTTATAGAGAATGACAACAAAGGGCAAAGAAAGATTTAATAGACAGACAAACTAAGCAGCTAAATACTACAGAGTTCTTAATTAACAATTACTAAATTTTTTAAACATTGTCTTGCTAGACATCAACACAGTGCCTTGTTATACCTGATCCAAGGTTCTAATGCTCAGATGACTTTAACGCCTCTAGAATCACCTTAGCCTGATCTCTCATCAACTCACTCCTTTTAACAAAAAGCTCCAATTCAGCAACATGCAGCTTCTTCCACTTCTCCTTCAACTCAGCTCGCTTGGCTCCTCCAATCAACTCCAAGCCCTGCTTCACGACACCCTCCGGCAACCCCAGCTCTCTGAAACCCTTATCAAACCCAATCACCTCACTCAAACTTTCAGAACCACACGGCTTCAGACCAAAATCCACCTTCTCACACTCCTTTGGGCGCTCCGGTGAACTCAACAGCTCAGCTTTAAGTGAAGCCAAAGTCTTGTTGTTACCCTTCTGATTTGTCCTAGCCTTCCCATTAGACTTTGACTGTTCAGACAACCCACTGAGCCCAATTGACCCTTCGCCGCTACCCCATACCTTCTTCGAAAAGTCGAACAACTTTTGCTCATGAGGCTTAACAGGATTATACTTCTTCCCCTTGGCCACATTAGTCTCATACTTCTTCTTGATCCTACGAATCTTATCTTGCAATTGGGTCTTGTTCACATCGGCCTTCAGCGATTTCTTGATAAAATCATGAAACGCACCCATATCAGAATATGGGTCCGCCACTTTCTTGGTAGTATAATCAATCATGCCTTTCAAGATTGTTATCTCATCATCATCGCTCCAAATCCTCTGGAACAGCTTCTTCGAGTCGTCTCCACCCGCCTTCTTCGTTTCCTCTCCGGCATGTTCTGGCTCCTGATCCGGGATCTTCTTAAATTTGGAAAATGGTAGGTGTTAGTGTAAACAAATGGAAAATTTTTAGTGAAGACAATGACTATTATTACAAAATTAAGGCGAATCTGGTGGAACCTTGCAATTTGTTGATGAAACCTTGCATTTGTAGCAAATGTCAAATGGCTCTGTTTTTTGCAATCCTAGGCTGTCTATAAATGTTATGGTATCATCTTATTATTGTATTAATCTTTTAATTTTGGGCTAACATCATTTTACCCTCTCAAGGTTTCGAGTCATTCTTGAAATAGGTCACGGGGTATTAATTTTGTCAATTTATGCCCTAACGTTTTAAAATTCGACCAATTTACATGTTCCATTAGTTTGATTAGTTAGTCATCTATTAAGTGATGATGTGGCAAATGTGGAGTCCACTTTTTTAGCTTAGGTGTAATTTAATATTACGACATAATATTTAAAAATTAAAAATTTTGACTGATACCTAAAAAAAAAAAAAACTTATATCCTTTTTCTCTCTCTCTCTCCTCTCTCACTTTGTCGGAATTTGGCAGCGCGTTCCTCTTCCCCCATCAGTTCCTTTTTATTTTTTCTATCTTTCTCTTGACAGCCCCATCCTCCATACCCACCCTCACACCATCTTGCTCATCCACCTCTCCCACCAAAAACTTCTCAGGACACCTACCATTCTCTCTCTCTACACCACTAACCCCAAGCCAAGCCACCCTTTCTCCTCTCTCCTCTTCCATTTTTTGTCTTTCCAATCCAAACAAAACAACACAAAAACAAATTCTCAAACCCATCAACAAACCCTAGCAGCAAAAGAAGAAGAAGATGATGAATGGGCTTTTCTGAAACAAAAGCAAAACAAAAAACCAACACTCGCACATTAAAATTGACCATGAAATTGAGAGCTCCTCATCAACATCAACATCATCAGCATCACTCAACTCTTTTCTGGACCATGAAATTGAGACTGAGTCGCCGCCGATTCCATCGCCCCCGCAGCCGGACGTCTCAAGTGTTCCAACGGACCAACCTTTCTCCCATGAATTTCCATATGGGTCGACCCCAGATCAGCCCCAATCCCCTCTACCACTGTCAAAAGCCCTCCCGACAACAATCACTGAAGAATCGGCTAGAATACGACTAAAATACAAGCGAAAACGACGCCGTGGTGAGTTGAAAACCAGGCGATGAAGAAAAGCAAGAGACTGTGAGAGAGAAATGGGGTCTAGGTTTTTAGAGAGAGAAAGAGTGAGAAGATTATGGAATTTTAGAGAGAGAGAGAGAGAGAGAGGCATAGCAAATGAGGAGACTCGCTCGCTCTGCAACCTCAACACACTATTTTTGCTTCATTCCTGAAGGACATCCATTCTTGATTTTCTCTCGTTTTCATCATATTTTAGGAAACGTAACCGCGAGTGTAGAATATAGGTTTTATTTTAATTTTAATATCTGTCAAAATTTTAATTTTTTAATATTATTTTCTAATGTTTAATTACATCTAAGCTAAAAAAGTGGAATCTATGTTTGCCACATCATCACTTAACAGAAAATCAAATGGTCAAACTGATGGCACGTGTAAATTGGTCAAATTTTAAAACGTTATGGAGTAAATCGACAAAATTAAAACCTCATGGCCCAGTTCAAGAATGACCCTAAATCTTGAGGGGGTAAAATGATGTTAGCCCTTTTACTTTCTACTCTTAATTTCATAACTGTGTTTTGCAGTCCAACACTCTATTGCAGATATTTGCGATCTAAACTCTGTTTGTGATTGCCTATACTTTATAGTTCTATAGTGTTTTTTTGTTGTTGTGCTTTTTTGGTCTTTGAACTTTAAAGTTAAACACTACAGAAACTGAGTTGATCTTCTTCCTCTTCCCTTTTCTTTTGTTGAGATAAATGATTACAAGGAGACAATCTAGATATACCAGAAAAATACAATTACAAAAATAAGAGAAATATTTCTTGTTCTTGATATTCTGGGTGGAATAAGTACTTGGTTTATGTGTTTTGATTTTCTAAATGCATTATTTTATGTCAATTTTATTATATATCGTCAAATATTGGATTTTTTTAACAGCTTGTTATAAAACCCTAGTTAGTCAAATACAATATTTGATGCCATGAGAGGCCATAAAACATTATCCATAGAGGGAAAATGTACTGAATTGGGTTTTCCTCTTGTCATGTTGCTTGTGAGTGTTAGAGGGAAAAATAAATTGGTACTTACCACTGAATTTCCAGTACCTTGTTTAAAATTGACTAAATTTATGATTGGGCTTGCCCAAAAGTCTGTAAAACAAGAAACCCAGCCGATTCGGTTTGGCCAAGAACTGAACCCCCACGTTTGAAGATCCTCCCTTAGCCAACTGATCCCAAGCTACTTTTCATTTAGTTATTTATTGTTATTTTGCTTCATTGCCTTCATTGGAAAATGCGACAAATTTTATTACCATTTGACTTACTCGACCTCACTTTTAATTGCTTCAGACAACTCAATCTCTTTACTAACATCACACGCCACCTCCTTTCACTTCTCAGGAGAGTAATGAGAAACACAAAAGATCTAAATGCAAGCAAGTTTGGTCACTCATGGGAAGGATCGTTTGAGGACACGGAGGCCTACGAAAAGGCCGTCTACAAGTTAAAACGGGTTAAGACTGGTCAGTATATGCCACGCCTTTAGAATGCAATTTATCTGGAGAAATATTATGTTTAAATTAATCTACTTATTCATCATTCCACCTATATTATTTAAATAAAATATGCACTTCTCATTTAAGTGTCAATTCGCGCACTTGGCTTAAATTTATTGTAAACACAACCGTGTTTGAACTTATCAATGAGATCCATGTCAATCTTTATATCACTCAAGGGTTATCAATCCCCTAAAGGCAATCAATTGGATCCATGTCGATCCCAACATCAACCCTAAATTACCAATCATCTGGGTGCGATCAATTGGGTCCATGCCGATTCCTTACATCATCTCGGGGGTTACCCAGGGACGGACCTATGATATGTACAACATGGGCTATAGCCCAGGTGAGTTTTTTTCTTTTCTTATATTAGTGTTAATGTTAAGCATATATGATGAAAAGTTGTTGAAATTGTTGGTGTAGAATAGGCCTTTAAACAAATAAAATAAAAATGATATGTTCTTAAATTAAATTTATATATATTTATGATCAAATCCATAAGCCTCCCTTAAAGGTTTGGTCAAACCTAAAATCTAGAAGTGGAGTAAGGTATATCTGTCCACCACATTTTGAAATCCTAAGTCCGTCCCTAGGGTTACCAATTCCCTTGGGGTAATTAATTGGATTCATATCGATCCCAACATCAGCTCGAGGTTACCAATCCTTCTCTAATTGAGAAGGGTAGGGTTACAACTCCAAATGCACTTGACTTCCCATATAAACAAGAAATGTGATATGATAATAATCTAGGACGCTCAAATCATGCTCCACAACGATTACATAGCTGAAAATGTAAAGCAAAGCAAAACATCCATACTTAAACATGCCCAACGTAAGCAAGAAAAGACCCCACAAATATAAGCAATGAAAAAAAAATTGAGGCAAGAAGAGAAGAGAGCTATGAAAACGAAACCTATTAGGCTTGATCAAAGATCAGATGACTTTGCCCGCTTTAAGCCTTTGTTTCACATCAAGATAACTTGAAGGTTCATCAAACATGTATATATCTGCCTTTTGCCCGGCAACAAAAGCAACGGCGAATCTCTGAAGCTCCCCGCCTGATAACTTGACTACGTTACGATCTAGAACCTGGTTTAGCTTAAGATCAACAATGAGTTCTTCGATCACACCCCTCTCATCCTTCTGTTTGAGTCATTCACAATAATTAATTCATCAAACAGAACTTGAGAAATATGATCATATACTTGGCAAAAACGATATGTAAGCCAAAATTTTGAGGGCAGTGGGACTTCCCAATGCCATTAGTTCCAACCAAACCAAGAACTTCCCCTGGCCTAGGAACTGGTAAACTGTAATTATGTGTAATTTAGTTTATGTTAACTTAAAACACTAAAACCTGAAACTGTTATTCAAAGTTCCCAACAATGTGGTAAGGAAGTAACTGACCTGTGTAATTTAAAAGAGTTAGACCCATATCGATAGGTTGTGTCTTTGTCCAATGCCTTTGGCAAGTTGATGATTTCAATTGCTGCAAATGGGCATTTCTACATGATCACATGATCATAGCCAGAATGAAAACAATGCCCCTGTTTAAAAAGATAAAAGAACAGGAAACTAAGATCAATCTTCACTGACCTTAACACATATACCACATCCAATGCGCAACTCTTCGGAGATACAAGCAACCTTGGATGCAGGTTTGAGCTCAATGCATAATTGCCTAAACATTTATGGTTAATCTATATATATAAAGGAAAAAGCAGATAATGGTAAAACATTAAAAATACAAGAAATGCCATTCGTTAATGCAAATATTAAGAATTGAAATTATTAATTAAATGAGGATAATATGGTAAATTCACACTTTTTTATATTTAAAAAAATTAAAATTAAAATTAAAAGAAAAATCAGATAACGGATCCTATTTTTATGGAACACAACTATCCATTATCTTTTTTAATTCTAAAATAAATTTAAACTTTAAAAAAAAAACCCTCTCGCAGCCGCGTTTAGTGGATAAGAAAGCAATTTCGTCACTGACCTTTATCGACATAAATTAGTAAATAAGTAATATGCTCAAAAGTGAGGCCCAACCAAAGGCCCGGACCCGATCCGATGCAGTGCAAGTGACTCCTTAACGGACTTGCTTCTGGGGCCCCACCTTGTCACTACTAACACGGCTCGGATGATGTTTCGCCTGAACGTCGTCGTTTGCAATTTATATCCGTTACATGCTTTCAATTGACCTTTTTTCGAATTCGAAATTCAAATTGCTAATAAAACCTTTCCTTAATTAATATATATATTTTTTAAAACCTTCTTCTTCAAGGCTCCTTGATCAATAGTTTAATACACTGA